GCACTCTTTCTCACTCCCAACACTTTAACTCACACAGGGAAAGCGATACTTGCAGCCTCCATGCCTTTCTTCCTTTCCCCCCCCCCTTCCCCCCGGGGAGAAAGAGGACGTGGGGAACGGAAAGCTAGGAGAGCGATTGCAAGTGAGCAACCGGGCGATCGGGTTGGGGGCATGGCCAGCCAGGGATTGCCACCGGTTTGGCAACCCATGCCAAATAACCACTACCAGTTCGCCCGAATAAGTGCGAATCGGTTGAATAGCACCTCTGAAATGGGGCAACATTTACTGAACAAATGTCTTGTTTAGCAACATAAATGTTGGGCTCAGTTGTGGTAGGTTGAAGACTACCTGTAGTTTCCAAGTAAAATGATAAGCTTTAACTGTTGGTTTGCTATTTATTGAAATAAAATGTCATGCAACAGGCACTGTTAAAACGGAAATCAAGAAGAGGATTCTCAAATTGTTCCCTTGGGAATATTGAGAAAGATTTGATTAAATCCTGTAGAAAAGAACAGATCTGAGTTTTTTCTTGTATTAGTACAATACTATTCTGAGATCATTTGCTCCCTTTTTCACTAAGAAAATAGCCAACAGCGCCAAAGAAATATGCTGTTCTTGAAACATTTTGAGCAGACTGTATAGTTCAGTACAAGACCAGAAAGGGTTTAAGAATTGCCTACGTTATAGTTAAAATTCCTCTTAAAGTAAATAAGGCCTACTTCAATAAATGCCCAAATGGTCATTAATTCATTACTTTTTTCAAAGCTAAAGTGCATGTTTAGAAATTTTAACACATAAGGTTTGATTTATAAGTTATGGACCTTGAGAATATTTTTGTGTTTAAGAATATAAAAACTATACTGAGTCACCCTAAGATCACTTTCCTCCAACCCAATACTTTACCAAGATAATTTTCTCAAGATATGTGGGGACTGTATCTCCAGAATTCTGATATGTTAAATATGAATCCAAAGTTCTTCATAAGAATCTCAACAACTGCCACTTGTTAAGTAGGACACAAGGTAACTGCTCTGCTCTTTCTCTCAGTTTCTGTCTCACCTTTAAACATGATGCACCTTGGTATATCATATTTAAAGAGAAGAGTTCCTGATGCCTTGGGCAACATTTTAGTTTTCCATTAACTCAGGTTGATATTTTCCTATCAGTAATTTCTGTTAAACATTATCAGATAAGTTTTAAAATAAACTTATACAGACTTATATTGTTAGCTATAGTGTAATGGTAGGAACTGGATTAGTAAGAACATTTTTTTCAAGTATTCTGACTTTAAAATTTTCCCAGTGAATTTCAGATAGTAACATTTGGGTGCTAATGTAAGATTGTATGTTGTCCACCTGTTCTTGGAATACTATACCTATGCATGTTACTTAGTTCAGAAGTAATTTTTTAAAAAAAGCCCTGCAGATGTCTTGGTAATCCAGAATCCTGGAATAATACTGGAAGGTCTATAAACATATGGTTGTTCTCATTGCACTTTCCTTTTTGCTTTCTGGGAAATCTGCAAATATGTATTGGAGGAAGTCTCTGTATATAAATGACATATCATGGTGTCCTACACCATGATATATGAAAACTAGGAGATACTTTCACCTTTTAGCAGTAACAGATGCTATGTTGTTGTCCTTTTTCCAACAGGTTTTGAAAAAGTATCCACATTTATGGTGCATGAGTAAACCCCCCAGACACCGCCCTAAACTCTATATTGTAAATCTTCAGGTGAGTTTAGTGAGTTTAGTATATTATGAGGTAGAGCATAATATACAGATGCATGTGCTTACATCATTTGCTTTTATACACTTTTGATAAGGAGAACAATGTATGCAGAAGGTCGTAGACTGTTCCTACTACTGTATACCAAGAACAAATAAATTGTTCTTAAGCAGAAGGCATGTGTGGGCCTTTAGAGGTTTGTCAATTAAAATAGATGGTATAACTATATAGCTATGTGGAGCAATTGTTTGCCTAGTTTTGTGTTTCCTTAGGTTAACATTTCCATGACTCGTAACATACTGTGAATATAAACTGAATGACATTCAGCTATACTCAGAAATGTGTGTCCTAGCTTGATAACCTTCAGATACTTGTTTCCCCTTAAATGTTAGGTTGGCTTTTCTATTTCTATCCAATGATAATGTGGTGATGGTTGGAATGTGAACTAATTATGTCTCTTTCTCAAGTATTCCAAAAATCTTCCCATTGTATTATGACTTACACTTTGAAAGATAATTTTATTAGATTAGATCAAATTAAAGAGAAAGTATTTGTTTCCTAACTGACTATTAGTATGTCATTTCTATTATGTTTTACCAATCCTGCAATAAAAAATAAAACTTATGTCTGTCTGAGTCTGATGAGTAGCAGTGTTATGTCACTCACAGACTGTTTGTCTTTGAGGGAACGAATCCAACCTCAATCCATTGTATTTGCAGTGGACACCAAAGGATGATCTCGCAGTTCTAAAACTTCATGGAAGATGTGATGATGTGATGAAGTTGTTGATGGATGAGTTGGGACTTCCCATTCCTTCCTATGATAGGTCAGTGACAACCAAACTTATTCAGTGTCAGACTTGGTCAGTGTCATGAGATGTCAAATGCCCTTGATAATATAACTTACTTTTGATTTATCTGGAGGCAGAATTTGTCACCCAAAGTTGTAAGGAAGATGGTGTGATCCAAATTCTTCTATGGTTAAATATATTTGCCTTAATAGTTCAAAATGAATGCCTTTGATCCAAGGCATTATTCACAAGTAGTTGTGTAAATTAACATTACATATTATTATGTTTGTCTGTAGAATGAAAGACCCCATCTTTTCTCTGGCTGTTCCTTTGCAACCTGCAGAAGAAAGCAGTCATAGCCGAAAACCCGTGGCTCCACCAACAAGTCTTCATGAAGTACAACTGGGAGAGGAACAGCAGATGCATCCAGATCCTCCTTCTGGTGGCTGGTTTGGCAGAGGCTGTGCAAAAGGCACAAAGAGGAAAAAGAACTCTTGATAACAGATTTTTTTTTTTAAAAAAAAGATTTTGAGGACCAACTATAGTTGCTAAAATCAGGGCAAGAAATGACATCTGCACTAGAATTCATCAGGATTGCTGGGCTAACTGGAAAAAAACACAGCTGCTATTTTCATAGAGATTTTTTTATAATTAGCTGACAAGGACCAAAGCTTAGCTTGGGTTTCTGCCATCTAAGGAGAGGTTGGCTTTTAATACTCAGGGCTGCCAATTAACAATTATTAATAAAATTATTATGAATGGCTACTGGCAGTTGTTTGAATATGGCTCTTTTGGTTTTGGTGCAGAGGTATGTAGAGGTTTGCTATACAGGTGGTCCTTGAGTTACAACCATAATTGAGCCCAGAATTTATGTTGTTAAGTGAAACAGTTAAGTGAGTTTTGCCCTATTTTACCCCATTTTATCAATTTTCGTGCCACAGTTGTTAAGCGAACCACTGCACTTGTTAAGTTAGTAACATAGTTAAGTGAATCTGGACTCCCCAATGACTTTGTCAGAAGGTTGCAAAAGCTGATCACATGACTCCAGGACACTGCAACTGTCATAAATATGAACCAGTTGACAAGCATCCAAATTTTGATCATGTGACCATGGGGATGCTGTGCAATGGTTTTAAGAGTGAAAAACGGTCATAAGTCACTCTTTTCACTGTCGTAACTTTGAATGGTCACTAAATGAAGTGTTGTAAATCAAGGACTACCAGTATGGTACTCAGCGATTTCTATATTAAATGCTGCCTCCAAGCAGAACTATTCCTAAAATAGAAATGGAAATAATAGCACATCCGTTGGAAATGTGCCTTTGTAGATCTGCATGCCTACTGACTTCTTCACATTTTAGAATGTCTTATGCACCCTGGAAAGGTTTCAACTATCGCTGAAACAGAATGGTTGCTAGGGGTAATAATTGTGCTTAAGGTGGTAATTCCGCAAAAAAAAAAAGTGATGCGTCTTCAAAAAGCCACATGCAATAAGAAGAATGAAACAGTGTTGAGGTAAATTCCCCATCCTCCCATAAGTTGCGGCCTAGAAAGCAAAAAAGGGCGGCTAATCTTCCTCAGGAGATCGGGCCGATCGCTTGGGCACACGCTGTGCACCCGCCCAGTTTCAATCCGAGCGGCTTTTCGAAAGGGGCGGGGCCTCCGGGGAGCGCGGCGGTGCTTTCGGCAGCTCCGGCTCCTCCCTGGTCACGTGACGGGGGGGCGGTCCTGGACTAAGTGACAGCGGCGGAGTCGGGACGGCAGCCGACTATCCGGCACTCTCTTGCTCGAGATGCTGCGGAACGGAGCTGCCGGAGGCGCCTCCTCTTTCAGCGCCACCGCCCGGCCTGTGCGCGTCTGGTGCGACGGATGGTGAGTGACCTTCCACCGGAGAGATGGACCTTGTAGTTGGGATGCCTGCCTCGGCATTTCTATGGCAACCGCTACCTAGGCGTCTCTTCTCCACGGCGTCGAGCAGCGGCCGCGCCGAAACGGGTCCCCATGGCAACGCCCCTCGCGCTTCCGCTTCGGTTGAACGGCTCCCCTTGGAGATTTCTCAGTGGGCCCCGTCAGTGCCTGGCTCCTCCTGTGCTGATCCCGGGATCCTAGGGCGGGAGTATTTCCTTCCCGCTTACGCACCCGGAGGTTTTTTGTTTTTGTTTTTCCCTGCCAGGGTTCATCTGGGGTCAAACTTAGCGCGCTTAACTCTGGAGATTCCACCAGAGCTAAATTTACTGTAATGCTATGATTGACGGGGTGGGGGTGGGGGTATATGGTATATTCTGTGTTGAAGCATGGAAGTGTTTGCTGCAGCTTATCTGAAATGGCATCTTTTGGCAAGCGCCACTGGACCTCTTCAGCATTTTTGGTGGAGTCTTTTGGCACCGCTTCATTTGGTGATGGGGCGGCGGCGGGGGGGGGGGGGGAGAAATGCTTGTTCTCATTAAAGACAGAATCTGTAATGTGCCTGATGGGCATGTGTGCACAAGCAGTAGACATGAATATGCAGGCCATTTGCATCCACCGAGTTTTTGAGATGAGCTGACTTTAGCGCTGCCAATCCCACAGCCCAGCATTTGGCAGCAGTTCCAATAGTACGGTAGGTTGGTAGCTGTGATGAATCTGTTCTTGTGGGGTTTCTCTTTATCTTCGGACTGCCTTGTCTCTGAAACGGTCAGCTTTTTAATAAACGAATTAACCCATCTGGAAGGACTGGGTGTACTCTTCCCGGTACTACCTCAAAAGGACTTTGGAGTTTAGATAGGCTTATAAACACGAGTTGCCCACAAAGACATCCTTTGAGATTATTAAACATTCTGGGAAGCTATGGTGCTTAGCCACAAAACAGTATTTGCTGTTTACCTACTCATGATTTTTATCACGGGCCTAGATTAACTTTTATTGCCACCTGTCAAATTGGCCTAAATTGTATTTGTAAATGGGTAGGGCTGGTATAATAATGGTAAACCATTGCAAGAATATTGGTCTCCCAGAACTTTGTAGAAGTAGCCTGCATTTCTTGTTCTTTTCTGTCAACATACATAAAGTCAAGTGCATGTCTGTTGGAATTCAACATTTTAGTATTATTGCCATTTCTATGGCTATCTTTCCAACATGAAGACTGTGAGCCAGTTTCAAAATGATTCTTTTAGTTCTGTTGTCTTCCCAATTGATATTTAAATACTAAATCAATAGACAACATCTAGCTTGGTTAAATACTGTTTGAATAGAATTATTTGCTTTTGTACAGCAAGTGTTTAAACAAACTATTCGTTATAGTCTTCAATTAATGATCAAATTTGTAGTCTGCTTTATGATCAGATAATTCAGCAGTTTTACCAGTGTAGTGCCATATAAAGTGGTGCACGTTCCATTATACTGAAATGATAATTCAACGTGGAGAATACCTCATGGAATTACCATACTCTGTAGTTGCCTAAAGTTTAGTAGATAAATAGTTTTTTTTATTAAGTTCATCCAATCAATTTTATCTTCATAATTACATTGGATTCTAGAACTGCTTCCACCGTAATTGTTATCTCTGAAATTTTAACAATTTTAATATTTTTATATATACTCTTACTACAAAAAAAATTAAGTGGAATAAACAAATTTACTCCTATTCATTACTATCACTTTTTGTAGTTATGGTAATTTATGCAGGATTTTTTCTTTGTAATAGTTTATAATAAAACCCTAGCAATGTAGACTTCTTGGCATCTTTATAAACCTCTTGGTGGAAAAGTATTCAATATTCCCTAAAATGTTTACTTAGGAATGCCCTGATCTTGTTAATTCTAACTAACAGATTCAGATTTCAGTCTGAATCAACCAAACAGCCATGTGTTTCCCTGAAAATAAGACCCTGTCTTTTTTTTTTTGCCACCAAAAAAGTTACCAGGTCTTATTTTCAAGGTATGTCATCCACTGACTAACCTCACTTGTGCGCGTCACCCCTGGCCTCCTTTTCGCTACCAGAGGCCATCAGGAACTTCTTCTTCTGCGGCTGGCAAGGCTTTCCTGAAGGCCTCTGCAGCCAATAACAGAGCTCCAGATCAATCCGGAGTTTTGATATCAGCTACAGAGGCCTTCAGGAAAGCATTGCTGACTGCAGAAGAAATGGGCTGGCAAGGCAGGTGTTGGGGTGTGCGAGGCTGGATACAACTGTCCAAAGGTAAGTAGTAGGCAGCTCCACCTCCCCATCCCCACTTAATTTTTACCGGTGCACTCTAGAGTGACAGGATCTTAATTAGGGCTTATTTTGGGGGTAGGGCTTATATTGGGCACACATGTAAAAATCAAGCTAGGACTTACTCTCAGGGTAGGTCATATTTTTGTGGAAACGGTAGCATAATGGTGGCAGCACCTATCCAATGTTGGCTGAACTTGAGAATGCTAAACAGACTCAAGTTATTCTCAGGACTGTAAATTAGACTGGAAAGTCAATTTAAAAAAAATCCTAGTAAACAACTTCTGCATTGTTGTCATGAAAACAACATGAGTGTTTGCCAATTGTTGCGAGGATTCACTTAAATTGAGACACAGCAATCTATTGCAGTTGGACTTGTGCAGATAATTACTATTGGAATGCCTGAAATAATAACTGATTAACTCTATCAACAGCCATAGAGTTTCTTAACAGCAGCAGCATGAATATTTCCTGGTGTTTTTTTTAAATGAATAAGTTAAACCATTCAGAATTTATTGCCTGAAAACACCATAAAAGAAATATTTAAAATTATAACCAATCAAGAGTCGAGTGCCATTTGAAAAAAAAGGTAATATATTGGATCTACTAACAAGTTGAAATCTTAATGGTAAATCTAAGGATATTCAAGCAGTTTACCCAGGTTTCAGTGAAGTATCCTATGGAGTTTTCAGATGAAATTAAAATCTGTAGCAAAAAATTACTGAGCTAAACAAATGTCTAAGGGACGTTTTAGTTTTGGTAAAATAAGTTAGAAAGGAAACTAGTTGGGAAAATGACACACAATGAACAAAATGGAATCAAACAATAGGAAATAATCAACAGCTTCATGATATAAGGAAGAGGAAGGAAAATATATATATTTGGCAATGAGGTCATCATAGGAAATGTATTTATTATAAACATGTGCGAGTGAATCTAACATCCTGTAATACTTGTCCTGGAGGATTTTAAAATTGCAAATTCTGCTAATATCAGCCATATTCCAGAGTGACAGAGGAAGGGGACAAATGGACCTGGAACTCTTCCAGAAGTTGTCATGGAAACTGCATTTAAAGTCATATGACTCCTGGAAAATAATCCCTGGGAACACTGGCACTAAGGCTCTTCTAAATTGTCATATGATAGGTATGGGCCCCATTAGAAATTGCTTGGCATTTGCTAACATCTGGGTTACAGCTAAATTAAACCTGAAGGATTCAAGTTCTCCTGAAACTGTATTCTTATTTTATTAATGTGTAATCCATCTTTCCACTTAACACACTTTTGTTTTTAGCTTGGGAAAAAATAATTCATTATCTTAGCAAAATAAAATATCCTGTGTTTATTTAGGCACATTTATTTGTAGAATGCCTTCATTGTTTACTCTTTCTAATCAACCAGAGAAGCTGTACTAAATGAGAAATGTAATTGTGGAAACTCAATTTTATTTGAGCTGAATTTTAAGCTAACCAAAAAAGTGTGCAAACCATCTAGTTTCTTTCATTAGGGGAATGTTAAAAACAACAGAAAAAAGGAAAGGGGTTATAAATGTGACAAGATTCAAGATGCATTTTCACCAGTCAAGCTTAAATGGAATTTGGGACTAATAGACTATGGATATGTACATTGGATTCTATCTGAAGCAGCTCTGATTTAACTTATGCTAGCAATCTCCCAAAAATTGTTGGGATCAATTTTATTTTCTCAGTTTGGAAATACCCAGCCAAATTTCCATCTTTAGCTAAGACACTCACATCCACTGGCAGGTGGAAAACAGAAGAGAGGCAAAAACTGAATAATATGTATATTCAAAAAGCTTAATAAGAGGCAATAGCCAAATCAAGCTAGAATTGCCAGAGTGTTATGAACATACCATTACAAGGAATGAGTCTAATGTATATTGAGTTTAAAAAGTTCTTTAAGAAATATATATTATATTATATATTATATATATATAGTATATTACATTATACAAATGCATTCTATTTTTTATAAATACATAAAGATAGTAATACATAAATACATAAAGATAGTAAGTATTTTGTGAACACCTTAGAAGGAGGTTTTTTTCTTCATTATCTTTTCTCAGAATTTCTGATAGCTGAGAAATTGATTAGATTTAAAGATATTTTTTCCAGTGAGGCCCGTTTCCCATTCACTCTATTCTTTCTTTACTCATCTCCATTTTTCTCTGAATAAGGAGAGTGAATACATGCACCCTCTCTCTAATGCCTGTAATGCTTCAGTTCAATATTATTGATGCAGCAGAGATAATGAGAATGTCTGCATATATCACAATTTTAATTTTCCTTTCAAGTCAGCAAACTTCAAATTCTAAGTATATTCGGACTTTTTACTTATGGCTCTTTGGGAATAATGTAAAAGTATATCTACCCTCTTTCCCCGAAAATACTTCCTACCCTGAAAGTAAGTCCTAGCTTGATTTTTTCCATGTGCGCTCAATATAAGCACTATCCCCAAAATAAGCCCTAATTAAGATCCCGACCACTCAAGTGCACAGGTAAAAATTAAGCTAGGGTGGGGATGGGGGGGTGGAGCTACCCTACTACTTACCTTTGGACAGTTGTAGCCAGGCCTTGCACACCCCGACACCTGCCTCACCGGCCCATTTATTTTGCAGCCGGCAAGGGTGGCAGAGTTTTCCCGAAGGCCTCTGTAGCTGATAACAAAGCTCCAGATTAATCTGGAGCTCTGTTATTGGCTGCAGAGGCCTTCAGGAAAGCCTTGCCAGCCACAGAAGAAGAAGTTCCTGATGGCCTCTGATAGCGAAAAGGAGGCCGGGGGTGACATGTGCAAGTGAGGTTAGTCAGTGGATGACATGCCTCCAAAGTAAGACCTGGTGCCTTTTCTGGTGGCAGATAGATACCATGTTTCTCATATAATAAGGCCGGGTCTTATTTTTTTTTGAGCCCTGAAAAAATGGCGAGGCCGTCTTTTTGGGGGTGACTTAATTCCCCCCCCCTTGCATTTTCAGGCGGGCGGGCAGCGACAGCTTGGATGTTGACCTCGGCATTGGTGGGGCACTTCGTATCGAGGTCAACGCAGGCAACACCATATCCGGGGGTGCAACAAAAGTACTTCCTAACAGCAAGCCCCCTCACCATTCCCCCCCATTTTGCATGTTTTAATATATGCCTTAATTTGGGGGGAGGGGCTTAATTTCATTTCATGCCTATAAAACATGCTGGGACTTCCTATTGGGGGAGGCCGTATTGTTGGAGAAACAGGGTAGATAGATAGATAGATAGATAGATAGATAGATAGATAGATAGATAGATAGATAGATAGATAGATGATAGATAGATAGATAGATAGATAGATAGATAGATAGATAGATAGATAGATAGATAGATAGATAAAAGACAGTCTTTTTGGGGGGAAACACAGGTAAATTTATTGATAATATGCATACTTTCCATTTATTAGAAATCTAGAATATATTATTATAGATGCTAAAGATGCCTGAAGTCAAAATTTGGGGTGCAGAGGAATGAAAATAACAGAAAAAACAGTAATAATGGATCAATTTCCAGTAACATAATCAGAAATAAATTTATAATTTGCTGCTTGTGAGTAGTAAGGAGAGCAAAGGAAGGGAATGATGAAAGAGCTTCACCATTGTGATGCAAGTTCCACTCTTTTTGTATGAGCTTTACAAAAGGGGCAGATGCTGAAAGCTTTCAATTCTGTAGACACCACTATAAAGCAATATTGATGGTACAGTGAGAAAACTCTTTGTTTTTGGGGGACTGTAATGTTCTATGCATGCTAATGGTGGAGTCTTGTGAAAATAAGCATTAACATGCCTTACAGAAGTTCCTTTGTTACTTTCGGTTTTGTTTGTTTCTTTGTAGCTATGATATGGTACATTATGGACATTCCAACCAGTTGCGACAGGCTCGTGCAATGGGGGATTATCTGATTGTGGGTGTCCACACAGATGGTAAGGAAACTGCATAACTATTTTTCTTTTTAGAAGTCTGATGCCTCTGAATACTTTCTAAAATTATGATTTGTTTGTTTGCTTATCCCGCCTTTATTATTTTTATAAATAACTCAAGGAGGTGGATGCACACTATACTCCTTCCTCCTCCTATTTTCCTCACAATAACAATCTTTTGATGTGACTTGGGCTGAGAGAGGACCTGGCCCAAAGTCATCCAGACAGCTTTCATGACTAAGATGGGACTAGAACTCACAGTCTCCTGGCTTCTAGCCAGGTGCGCTACCCGTTAGATCTAATTGGCTCTTATAGTCACTTCAGGCAGTTTGGTGTAGTGGTTAAGACACCAGGCATAGAAACCAGGTGGGTGGCTTTGAGTCAGTCACTCTCTTTTATCCCATGATATGAAGCTTAGGCAACAAGCTGGTTGGTCATATCGCAATTAATGAATCAGCATTCAGTTCATCAAAACAAACAAACCATGCACTTTT